GGACGGCCTATCTCTACAATTCCAAACGCAAGTCCCTGATTGGGACTAATTTGGTCCCAGTCGGGGAACACTTTTTGGTCCAACTTTCTCCGAATTGAAATCCGTTTGCACCGTTGTGATCGTACATTTAAACTCTATCGAACGATATAATTTTCATATTTATTTGTAATACTTTTTCCGACATCATATTTTTGGGTGGTTGACTTTGACAGAGTCAAAATTTATTTAATTGATCTTTACTCAAAAAGGTTCTTACATTTCATTCATATTATTTATTCTCATTATTTATTTCAATAAATCATTTCAAAGTTCATATCATAAACAAATTTCTTCATTTATTCTTAATTTGGGTCTGTACTCAGGTTCCCAAGTAAGGTCACACAATAAGTCAACATATTGGATTTATCTCTATGAGACTTATCCAGATTTTGATATTGAATATTAAAACATATTTCATTTCGGCCCAAAGCCCAATAACAATTATTATTATTAATCAAAATAATTTGATTACTTGAATAATTATTCATTAATAACTCTAGGGTATATTTTGGGGCGTTACAGAAATTGAAAAGGTAAATTCCAGAACTTCCCTGTGAAATCCGTACGCCCATGGCCGGTCGCCACACCGATGCTAGAACTTGCTGCATCACTTCCCTGTGAAATCCGTACGCCCATGGCCGGTCGCCACACCGATGCTAGAACTTGCTGCATCACTTCAAACTTGATAGGCTTATCGGGCAACTTGGAGTAAGATTATAACCCTTCAATATATACTTATGTATAAAAAGATTATAAATACAGTCAAAATGGCATAGTAAACTTCCCTGGTTAATTACTTTCACAAAAGTTTTGGATGCTAAATGTAGCAATGCATCAGTGGTGTTATTGAAAACAGTCTCTTTGGAGTATTTTACGGGGGTAAGACTGGTTGTGCAATTTCACCATCTTCAAATACGTTTTACGATTAAAAAGTTTATACTTTAGTCCGAAATGTGCTGCCGACCTTGACGAATTAGGGTGTTACAGAGGATGTATGGGGAACGAGGCAAAGAGAGAATGTAAATTTTCTTTCGAAGGTAAACAGAAATCATTTTTCTCCGATTGGGAGAAAATATTTTTCTTCAAAAAACTTTTTTTCACTAATGTTATCAAAGATTCTTTTTTTCGTACGACCTAAATGAAAGCTTTCAAGCTTCATTCCTTTGAACACATGGAAAGGAAAAAAAGATGAATTTGTCAGCACTCTATTTAAATAAAGATACTGAAAAACATATAAATAAATTAGTTAGACTTTAGAGGCAAATTTTACTAACGAGTAATTTACCTAAATAGGACTAAAACATAATGACTTTCTCAATATAGGACCATATGTTTTTATTTCCCAATATAAAACCTTTGGTCATTATTAATTAGTCATTATTCAAATAAATGTCCATCATTACTTGGCATTATTCCTCCCACTAAGACATTATTAAGTCCTATTTAGGGAATAAAAAAGTTTAAGTCTTAGATTAGGAAAGTCATTATGTTTTAGTCCTATCTAGTGGAAATTTTACTAACTAAAAACAAACAACATATTCTCAAGTATTAGCCATTATTAATATAATCATAACTATTACTCCTTCCGTCCCGAATAAACTTCCCTTTTTGATTTCTCAAGGATTTAAGGAAGAGATATTTTGTGTTGACTTTCCTAAAATACCCTTGATGTGATATGTAAAAGTAAAATGTGATATGTATATTATTAGTAAAAGGTATGATGCGATAGGTAGAGATTGAAAAGGTAAGAGGTAAAAGGTGTTTTTTAAGAAAAAAGAGAAGTTTATAACGAAGTAGTTAAAGTGTTCAACAACTCAACCCAACACAGAGTTATCAAACAAATAGTTGACAGAGTTAACAATTTACGAAAATGAGCAAATTAACCCACAAAATGTCAAATAAATAAAAACATTGGTTAAAGTTGTCTTCAATTATCTAGAGACCCAAGCAGTTAGAGATTATATTTATTGTATATTGAATAATCAAAATTAAGGAAATATAAATTAGTAGTCTAAAATCCCTGTCTACAATAGAAAACAATCCTTATAATAGAAACAAAAATCAAAATTCCCCTCAATTATCCAAACATGCCCTTTAATATAAACTGTTTGCATGGCACCTCCAATAGTTTAAATAAAT